AGTGTTATGCTCGGCAAAAGGGAAGGAGAAGAGTCAGCCCGTTGAGCAGTCTTAATTAGGATGCAATAGAGACAGACTGCAACCCTCGAGGCTTGTGGTTCTCCCTAAACCACTGCCATCACGTTAGGCATGGCCGTGCAACGATCACAGAGTAGTCAGGCACGAGTCGTGCCGCACCACGCCTTCACCTCGCCCGGAGCTAAACCCTCTCAATCAACCCACGATCATAATCCCGCACAGGTTCTATCCCTGGCGACTGCTTTTTTCCACCAAAAAACTCATCCCGTGTTGTGGGTCTAGTTTGCCTGCACCCTTGTAATCTCATCAAACCTTCGCCTTCCTCAGTATAGCGAATGAGCCCAATATCGATTACTGTGCTGCTAAGTCTGTGGTATTCGTACAGAACTTAAGTGCAGGTAGTGCGCTTATTGTTATTGTCCTAGGGTCGTAGTATTGGTTGCTCTAGCTCGAGTTCCCTTGTTGTGTTGTTCTTAGAGTTCATCAACCGATACCCCGATACCTTTTTGGTAGCAGCTCCTTGTTACGAACGATTACAACTACGAGATGGTTGGTTCAGCTTCTGGTTCTACCCCCACTCCGCCCCGAGCGGAGGGGGAGGGCCCTCGGGCCCCCTTGGTGCGTCGTGATCCTGAGGAGGCAGCTGAGGAGGCCTATGACGAGTTCATTCGTGCTGAGTTGGGTGAGCGGGCGGCTAAGCAGGCGGCCGAGATGGCGAGGCGTTCAGTTGAAGAGTATAACCGCGTGTTAGAGGAAAGGTCACCCCCTCAAGCGACCCCAACACTGAAGCATCAAAGTATGGTTACTGAGTCGGCTGAGGACAACAAGCAGGCCGAGTTATCACAGACGAGAGGCATGTTGGCGCCTCTCCTCACTGGTCAGACGTTGCAAGTGGTGACCGCCCAGATGCCGGAGAGATATGATGGAGTCTCCGACCTAAGGATCTGGTTCCGAAGGTTCGAGGCAGATGCCAGGGCGGCCGGTTGGAACGAGCACATGATGGCCGAGAGATTGGGTAGCTTCTTCAGGGATTCCTATTTTTACACTTGGGATGAGAACGCTGGCAAGAAGGACTTCGCTGCTGATCGAGAGATGATGCTACAACTCTTTGA